ATTGTAAATGAGACGTTTTAGCTGGATTAATAAAGGATATAGTTCCTTTCTGGCTCCGAAATGACTCGATATCATTCACGAGAGATGTTTTTGACCTACATTTTTAGATTATAGGCCAACAAGTCAATTATAACTCTATTAATTTTCACTTTTCGGTACAACTAGCTAGCTTTAAAGTGCCCAAGTGTATTTTTTGCTGCTTTACATGTTTGCTGAACTGCTTCATGGGCTAAAAACCTTTTGATTACTTAGATGCTGACTCTATTGTTCAAATCAGATCTATACTTTATGTTTTCCATTTGGCTTTCCTGGATTGACACGTTTGAAAATAAAAGCATTCAACATTGTGAGTGTCAAAATGTGTCGTGTAAGTGTAGAAAACTTCTGTTGTAGGAAAACAGGATAAAATGACTGTGTTTGGGGCTTGAGGATAAATCTGATCTAAAAATGAACTTGTGGAAGTCAGAACAAGATACAAGCTTGAGTGCAATACTCTGGTAAAACTTCATAATGGGGGTATTTAGGCCCCACATCTCGGATGTTATCTACACTCAGAATATCTTTTAGTATATTATTTGGGAACTTGGTTTGGTCTTGGAATAAGTAGTTAATCATAGATATCGATGACATGCTGTTGTTGAAACACTCTCTGTACCTGCAGTTTGGTTTTTCCAAAAATGTAACAAACAAAACAAGGACACACATATTGATCGCTGATGTCAACTCCACTGTGTAAGGTTCTTCCACATGTTCCACAAAAACAAATAAATAAATTAGGTGAAGGAAAAGATCTACTTACTTTTTCTGTGTTCCAGCCTCAGTAACTTTCACACAGTAACATCTGGTGTAATATTTACACCTCTGATGAAATCTCATAAGTGTTAGCTTTATTTTGTTACCACGATTGTTTACACAGAGTTTGTAATTGCAGAGAAATACTCCATTTATTTTGGACATGTCATTTTTGAGCAGGAAGCTCAGAAAGCCCTTTGGGGCTTAACAGGTTAATTAGGTGTCTGATATTTATTTATGCTAATTTATAGTTAAGTTAATGAAAGAAAAATGAAAGCTTAGTCTACTGTTAGCATATTTAAATCTAAAGAAGGGTATCAAAAAAGCCAAACACCATTACAAAAAGAAGGTAGAAGAACACTTCTCCAACTCCAACCCCCGACGCATGTGGCAAGGACTCCAGACCATCACAGACTACAGGACCACCAAACCCTCCCCCGCATCCTCTGATGTCTCCTTCCTCAACGAGCTCAACAACTTTTATGCTCGCTTTGAGCGAGGGAACCCCACAACCACAACCAAAGCAGACGTGACGCCAGACGACCACCAACCTCTGACTCTCTCCCCCACCGATGTAGGAGCGGTGCTGAGCAGGATCAATGTCCACAAGGCTGCAGGTCCTGATGGCATCCCCGGGCGTGTTCTCAGAGCGTGTTCTGGGGAGCTTGCAGGAGTGCTGACAGACATATTCAACCTGTCCTTGGCCCACGCTGTGGTACCGGCCTGCTTCAAATCCACCTCCATCGTCCCAATACCCAAAAACTCCAACCCATCTTGCCTCAATGACTACCGCCCAGTAGCACTCACCCCCATCATCACTAAGTGCTTAGAGCGACTGGTCCTATCACACTTCAAATCCTATCTCCCCCCCACCCTGGACCCCCACCAATTCGCATACCGCCAGAACAGGAGCACAGAGGATGCAGTCTCCATCGCACTGCACTCTGTCCTCTCACACCTGGACAACAACAACATCTACGCCAGAATGCTGTTTATAGACTTCAGTTCAGCATTCAATACAATCCACCCCTCACAACTCATCAGGAAACTGACAGACCTGGGCATCAGTTCCCTCATCTGCAAATGGTTACTGGACTTCCTGACCAACCGCCCCCAACATGTCCGGCTGGATAACCGCTGCTCATCTACAATCACGATGAACGGTGTACCACAAGGCTGTGTGATGAGCCCTTTCCTCTACTCCCTCTTCACCCACGACTGCAGACCTGCTGATGGTTCCAACACCATCATTAAGTTTGCAGATGACACCACGGTGATTGGCCTCATCAGTGACAACGATGAGGCCGCCTACAGGGAGGAGGTGGATCGTCTGGCTGAGTGATGCGACACAAACAACCTGCTGCTTAACACCGAGAAGACCAAGGAGCTCATCGTGGACTACAGGAGGAATGCTGACCCACATCCACCCATCCACATTAAGGGGACGGCTGTGGAGCGTGTGAGCAGCTTCAAGTTCCTGGGAGTCCACATCTCTGAGGATCTCATCTGGACGACCAACTGCTCCAAGCTGGTCAAGAAGGCTCACCAGCGCCTCTTCTTCTTGAGGACTCTGAGGAAGAACCACCTGTCTTCAGACATCCTGGTGAACTTCTATCGTTGCACCATTGAGAGCATCCTGACCAACTGTATAACAGTCTGGTACGGGAACTGCTCTGCCTCGGACCGGAAGGCGTTGCAGAGGGTCGTGAAAACTGCGCAGCGTATCGCCGGAGCACCACTTCCTGCCATAAAAGACATCTAAAGGAAGCGGTGTCTGAAAAGGGCTGGGAAAATCATCAAAGACCCCAGTCACCCATCACATGGACTCTTCACCCTCCTGCCCTCTAGGAGGCGCTACAGGAGCCTCCGGACTAAGACCACCAAGTACCGGAACAGCTTCTTCCCCACAGCTATCAGACTCCTGAACTCTGCCTCCTGACATCTGACCCACATTAACTCATGGACTGAACATACACACACCCACAATGGACAACTGTACCCTCAAACACACAATAATAACATGGACTGAACCACCACTCACAACCACTAGCACTTTATATAGCCTCTGTAGAATTATCCACATATCTCACTTATCTTAACTGCACTACTGTATAGCTCTGTAATAATCATTCTGTACATACGATAATTTTTAATCCTACAACCGTTTACAACTTGCATAGTTCCCATTTCTGTATAGCTGTATATCTCAGATTCTGTAAAGTTATTTATTTCATATTCTGTATAGTTTTTCATATTTATATCCTGTTCATAGCCTGTACATAGCTTGTACTCACTACAGCCTGTACATACTTATAGTTATAGAATATTCACAACATACTTCATACCGTGTACATTATAACATACCATAATAGACCCATTTCTGTAATATATTTACATATCTATATTATTGCTAATATTTATTGTAATATATCTATATCACTAAAGCACTTCTGGATGGATGCAAACTGCATTTCGTTGCCCTGTACCTGTGCATGTGCAATGACAATAAAGTTGAATTCTATTCTATTCTATTCTATTTATTTGAAAGGGCATTGTGTTACTTTGTTTACATAGTAGGATATAGATCACAGTTATTCATCAGTGCAACATTTTCTGTAAACTCAGTAAAGGTCTGGATGTAGTGCAGTAACCACCAGAGGGAGCAGCATGTGTAGATTTGAAATGTCAAATTTCCAAATGTTGCTCTCTGGGAGACACTGATATTGTGAATGATTTAAAGACATGGTATAAACAGAATAAATTCCAGTGATGGCAGGATCATGGAGATGACAAAATGAAGCAATATTTTAATTAGTTAAAATATCATACTTCTGTTTCTAGGAATACAGTACTGTTGCAGATCATAAAGCATAGACAGACAAAATGAGAGCATTTTGATTTTTTTTTTTAAGGGGGATGGAGGTCAATGTTACAAACTATTCCCCACAAATCAAAGTCCAGTATTGTCTTTATTTATTTCTAATCTGGAAGCAAAAAACAGGAGTAGAAATAATAATCTATTACTCCTAAAACAGCAACAGTCATAATATTCATCTAGCAGTGCATATGGTATTTTTACAACTGCAAGCACTGCTGGAAATGTTGCCTCACACACTCAGGTACGCTCATGTCCACATCACTATCCAGCAACATTTGTCACCAAAAAATGGACATTTCCCCCCTTTTTTCCTGGAATTCTATGATTTCTTCCAATATCATGCTCACATTCCCACTGCTAACCCATTTAGTAATTATATGCTTTGTTCTATTGTCATCATCGTTTTGTGATCCGTTTTAAAAAATGTCCTTGAAAAAGGCTTTTAAATCTCTTTAGCAAACTGTTTAAAAACACGGAGCAAATGTGGACTAATTGCTACTGAGTGCTGTGAGGAACGCTGCGAACTGTTTACTTATATTTATGGGATTGCAGAGATCAAAGTCAAGATTTTTATTGGTTGTTCTGTGTTCTGACTCTTGTGTCACCGGTGACTTTGAAACTTTTACAGGTGAAGCATTTTCCATTAAAGTTTGAATGAATTATAGTGACAGAAAGAGGCCACAAGATGGCGCCAGTTTTGACGTAGTAGATACCACCCGTTGGCTGTTTGGTTTACGTTCGCACCACTCCACGAGTATTGTGCATAAAGTTTAAAGTATTCCTCAGGCTCATGATTTCTTTTTCCTTTGTGGCTGAATTAAAATAAATTAATTTAAGGAAACTAGGGCGAGTCTTTCATCAGTAATTGATTATTTAAAATACTTTACTGCCTAAAGTCATAGGTGTGAGTGCGAATGTTTCTCTGTCGCTCTGTGTTAACAGGCTGGCGACCTGACCGGGGTGTACCCCACCTCTCGCCTCATGGCATTGGGATTGGATTCAGCCCCCACAAATTAGATAAGTGGTAGAAAATGGATGGATGATATAATACATACCTGCCTGATCAACTGAAGTATAATATTGACCAAACTAGCAAACAGTTACCAGAGGATTGTACAGTACATCTAATTTAAAGTAAATCAGTGAACTGTCTGTGAACCTTAGACTTAGATATGAACAGACTGAAATATCCACTGGAAGTGGAATATTAACCTAGTGGGACTTTACACGGATTTAAATGTCCTTTATGTTGGTCCCAGTGGATGACTTGGTGGTGGATCTGTGCGTTATTTCATTTTATAGCTGACCCTGAAGCTAGTGGGCCATTTCTCAGTACGGCTGCTCTGACTCAGCCTACAGCCCCCGCCCCGATAACTGTAGTAGTGTTTCACAATCAAGTCTGCGTTCCGCTGAGGTAAGCAACACAAAGGGCAGGTACCCGTGGCCTTTTCTCTGCACTCCAGTGAGCATGGCTTTCCTGTCCGTGTTCACGCCTGTTCTGGCGGTGGTTTTATGCCTGGTGATAGGCTTCGTGCTGGTGAAATCATGGGACACAGAGACCACTTCCACATCTCCAGGCAAAAGTAAAGGGGCGACAAAAGGGGAGAAAAGACCATGGGTGGACCAGGACTTACAGGACGATACAGAAATCACAGCAAAAGAAGACGGTGAGAGCTGAGCCTTGTAGTTCGCTGTGGGGCTGAACTTTTTTTTTTTTTTTTGGTGTGGTTGGTTGGGTGCATGCTTTAGAGCCAGTTGCATAATGTTCAAATGTAGGTCACAACTTTTAAAATGCAATGTAAACTGAACATTGAACACAATAAAGAATGTGGTTACCGGTTTAAAATGTTTCGGCAAAGGTTCTGCGTGGATTCAAAAAGAGTTTTTTTTTTATTGGTTGCCTATTACATAACGTTCCTCTGTTGTTTTTCACATGAAACTCCACAACTTGGCAAGGCGAGTAACTGTATCCTCACATGCTCTTTAAACTGAGAAAATGTATCATTTAAAGAACATAAAAATAACTCATTATGAATTTGATGCCAGCAACACATCTCAAAAAAAGAAAAAATACTTTGAGAGTGGAGAAACAAAAGACTGAAAAAGTAAGTGGTAATAAAAAGAAACAGCTGGAAGGACATTTTCCCATTGGCAATGGACCAGTACCACAATTGGGTTTAAAAAAGAGCATCTTAAAGCAGCAGTGTTTCCCAAAAGTAAAAATGGGTGAACCAAAAAAACAAAATTAAGTGTCTGTAAATTGTTGAAAATTTTCACAAAATTGTTCCTCGAGTAAAATTGTGACAAATTTGTATATCTTATTATAATTAAATTGAAATCTCTGCATGCAAGGGACATGGCTGAATATAAGTAATGCCAGTGCATTAAAAGCAGGCATGATTGTGTCACGGAAGTCACTGAGAAGAATTGCAGAAATCGCTGTCTGTTCTCCGTACTTTCCACAAATGCAGGTTGAAGCTCTGTCATGCAAAGAAGAAGCCAAATGTGAAAGTGATCCAGAAACACTGTCTTCTGGTGTAAAGAGGAAAGTGACCACCAGGGTTGTTATCGGCACTCAGTTCAAAAGCCTGCATCTCAGATGGTGTGGAAACACATCAGTGCCTGTGAAATTGGCAGCTTTCACATCTGGAAAGGCAACATTATTGCTGAAAGGTATATTCAGGTTTTAGAGATGTTCCAATTCAGATGGCGTCTTGCATATTTCAGCAAGAAAATGTTAAACTGCATCCATTACAGCAGCACAGGTGTAGAAGACTCCCTGTGCTCATCTGGCCCACAGTTCCCACATGGTGGAATACTGTTGTTAAAAGCAGACGGGATGCTACGCAGTGGAAAACAGGAACCTGTCACAACTGTATTTGAGACATGCTGCTGTCATCAAAATTAAAATAACCCAGTATTTATCATGAAATAGTAAGATATGTGAGCTTAAACATTTCGTATGCTTTGCGCTCTTGTGAATAAAATGTGGACTTATGAGATTTCCAGATCATTGCAATTGATTGTGATGACTTTTTACAGTGTGTCCAAACTTTTTGGGATTGGAGTTGTATTTTATTGGTATGTCTTTCTGTCTTTCATCTTTTATAAGATGGTGATGCTGATGATGATTGGGGGGACAGCACTGAAGAGGAGAACCTCACACAACTGCCTTATTCACCGCAGCGATACCCTGAGGAGACAATGCTGCAAAGGTCCAAGGAGTTTTACACTTTGATGAACCAACGGAGGTCTGTCCGATTCATCAGCCCGGAGCCTGTCCCACGGGAAGTCATCGATAATGTCATCCACACTGCAGGCACGAAATGTCATTAAAACATAATTCACTGGGATTCACCCTAGTATATTAGTCTGAGCTTCATTTTGAAGGGTTTTTTTTCTTCTCTTCCTGTTCTTCACGTGAGCAGGTACAGCACCTAGCGGAGCACACACAGAACCCTGGACGTTCATTGTGGTGTCAGATCCAGATATAAAGCATCAAATTAGACTGATAGTTGAAGAGGAGGAGGAGATGAACTACCGCCAGAGGATGGGGGAAAAATGGGTTCAGGATTTGGCCAAATTGAGGTAAACATGCATGCAAGAACGAACATGGATAACATTAAATTCACAACTAATTTTCAGTTAATATCTTCCAAAGTAAAAAAAAACACATTTTCTTTCTCTTTTCCCTCCTCTTGTAGGACAAATTGGATTAAGGAGTACTTGGATGTTGCTCCATATCTGATCCTCATCTTTAAACAGACCTACGGGATTCTCCCAAATGGCAAGAAGAAAACGCACTACTACAACGAAATCAGCGTGTCCATATCCTGTGGGATCCTCCTGGCTGCATTACAGGTCATAATTCAAATCATTTGAAACACTTGGGAAAGCAGCTCTTCTCTCTCTCATAAAATCCAAAAATGTAGTGCACAAATCTCACTGTTTCTCTCCGTCTGCTTCATCAGAATGCGGGTCTTGTTACCGTCACATCTACGCCCCTCAACTGCGGCCCCAAACTCAGACTTTTACTTAAACGCCCGGCGAACGAGAAGCTGCTGATGCTACTTCCTGTTGGTTATCCTGCCTCTGATGCTACTGTGCCTGACTTGAAACGCAAGCATCTGGATGATATTTTGGTGCATGTGTGAGAAAATGAGATGTCTTCATCAAATTCTTTGCCTGTAGCTGAGAAATCAACCAAGCAGATGCCTGATGAGAATTAGAAGTGCTTTCACAGTAGAGAGAAGCAGAGAGTGAGGCTTCTTTAGATCAGTCTTTAAATGTTTAAGATAGACAATCAAGAGAGGATGGCATGAATCTTTCATAGCTTACTAATTGCTAACCTAGCTTTTGAAGGCAAAGTAGTGAACATTTGGTTGGCTTATTTGGGTTTAGCATATTTCTATCATGCAAATTTCAAATACATAACCAGCAAAAATTCTTTGATTCCGTTCTATAAATGTTCCTCTGGTCTCTGATTTTCCAAACCACACACAAACAACTGAGGAAAGTTCATTTACAACAAGATTTGGATGAATGAAGAACAGGTGGTTGCTCAGTTGAATGCTAACTGCAATAGCAGTGTTCAGTAAGCACCTGCATAGGGGGAGAAAAGAGAATGAACTGTAAAATTGAATTAGTTCCCAGAACCTGATGCAAACTTGTTGCCTTAAAAAAACTAAGTACAGCTTACTTAAGAAAACTAAGTTAGGGCACCTTATTCATTGTGAGTATAGTCCAGCCATGAGCCTTAGAGTATTTTTGTGGGAGATCTTATCTAGAATTAACTTTTCCCAAATACTGCATACAATTAGAACACTGTCATTTATTTTGAGTGTTTGTAGTGTTCCTTAAAAGGTGATTTCACAAGCCCTGATGAACAGGAGAAAGGTCATGCAGTCTCAAATTTCCATTCTTTTGACAGCTGGGAGGAGTTTGTCATGAAGTCCAATTACTCAATGGAACTTTGGATAAGATGCCTATAAGAGCTTCCTGTTGCATCTTATCTGTGTTGCGAGAATTCTTCTCTGGAGTTCTGCTGTGAGTTTTTGTAACACAGAAAGATTAACAAAACAAGAGAGCACAGCAGGCTGATTTTTGATCGCAGCGTTTGGCCCTAAATGTTACTGTTAAACCTTTTGTCTGTGCTTTCCTTGCCAAGATCTCATATTTTGAACTTGGTCTTTTTGACACCGATCTCCATATCAAAAGCTGAGATTGTTTTATCAAGATGTTGCGCCAAGATAGCAAGTTGTTTTCCTTTTCCTGCAATCTGGAACACACAGGTTGGTGATTTTTCTTCCTCCAGCCTCCACAGATCTCTCCAGGTATGTGTTGAAGAGTGCTGATGAGAGCAGGCATTAATTTCAACTGCAGAACAGAACTGGCGAAAGAGAAAAAAAGGTTACAAAATCTCTGAGTGGGTAATATTTGGAGAAAATATAACACCCACACACTACCTTTGTGAATGTTACCTACAAGCATACTTTAACAGGTAAAATGCAGTGGCAAACCGTCCTGGCTTTATGAGCTACAAGCATACTCTGATGGGCAAAGTTAAGTGGCAAAACGTCATACCTACTTAGATTTGTGCTGGAATTACTCTGTGACAGCAGAAATGTGCATAAACTACTTACGGTAGGACGTTTTGCCAAAGTAGGATGGTTTGTCAGAACACCGTCTTACCACTAATGTAATGTACCACAATTTTTTTTTCTCCAACTGTCTCCCTATCGCTCTCTCTTTCTCTCTCTAACTTTCTCCCAGTGTAATCCAATTTTTTTATTATTATTTTTTGGGAGGTAGTATGTTCCAATATCACTGACACTTCTTGGAAGTCCTTTAAAAAAGAAAAAAAAAGATACAAAAAAAAGATACATTATTCATCATTTGTGATATTTTGCATTTATTCTTGATGATTGGAATATATCCAGAGTATGTTTGTATATGCATATGTGTATATGTATATGTATGGACATTGTACCTGATAAATGTCAGTCGGAGTGACTTAATAAATGCATTAGCACTAAGTGAGACTGTATGCTGAAGTTCTATTTAAATATTTATATAATTCTTTAAAAATACATTCCAAAACATAATAGGCTAGAACAAAAAACAAAAACCTGAACAAAGTGCCCAAAAATGTAAGCAATAAATTGCACAAATTGCTGGATGTAGCAAAACGCAATGAATTAAAATGAATTAAAACTGCAAATATGTAAATTGATCTATAATCACTTTTATGTTACACATAAACTACTGACAATTAACTAATGGTTCAGACTTTACAGATCCTTCATATGAAGTCATGTCATACACGGGATGTTTACATAGCTAAAAAAACAAATAAAGACACCCCCCCCCCCCCCCCCCCCCATTTATTCAAGCTCAAAAAGGAAGAACATGGACATGAGTAAGAAGAAGAGGCCTCACCAGTCGCTGTTTATCCGGGAGAGTGAAGTGGAGAGGGTGAGCAGCTTTAGGTACCTGGGCGTTCACATCAGTGAGCACCTTACCTGGACACTGAACACCACACAGCTGGTCAAGAAGGCTCAGCAGCAGCTGCACTTCCTGAGGAGACTGAGGAAATTTGGGATGTCTGCCAAGATCCTCTGCAGAGCATTTACCATCGCAGAGTCCAGAGGAGAGCTGCCTCCATCCTTAGAGACCCAACACGGACTGTTCACACTTCTGCCCTCGGGACGAAGGTTTAAAAGTGTGAAATCCAGAACATCTAGACTCAACAACTCCTTCTTCCCCACTGCTATCAGACTCCTGAACAGCTGACCTACCTCAACTGCAATTTTCACATCAGGACAATTTGCACACTAAGTTCTTTTGCACATTAAGCTCCTTTGTACATCCTTTTACATTGACAACTGCATACCTCACTTTTCTTCATTTACATATTTTGTACTTATTTATTTATCTTTCTCTATTTTTTATCCTTATTTTTACCTTATTTATCTTGTTCCTTCAACCCTACCTAACTTGGCATTTGCGTATGGACAGCAAAGGAAGAATTTAATTGCACAGAGAAATGTTATTTCTTCTGTACACATGACAATAAACACTTTGAATCTTGAAACCATTCACACGCTGATCTCCAATGCCACCGCTAGGGGTCGCTAACGCGGGGAAGGTTTTAAAGCATTAAAAGAAGAAGGCAAACCACATTGCGCAGGCGTACACCACGTACACCGATGCATCCATAGCATCGAGCTCTCTTGGCTGGATTGCTAACGGTCTGTCAGGTATCACACATTGGGCTTGAAGGGGGAAGAGCAGCGGTGGAGAAGAAGGGCGACCTAAGCGCCGCTACGAAATGGCCGGGCAACAGTTCCAGTACGATGACAGCGGCAATACCTTTTTCTATTTCCTAACGTCCTTCGTCGGACTTATTGTGATCCCGGCCACATATTACCTCTGGCCCCGGGATCAAAATGCTGGTAAGGCCTGACTGTGTGGCTCAGTGCTAACTGAGCTAACTTAACTGTCTAACTTAACATGAAGTTTTCTGGCGGTATTTTGGCTCGTATACGGCTACCAGCTGGCCACGATTTAGCCTCCATTTGGGTCTATCTCCAGGAGCTTTGCAGTGAAACCCAGCGACACAGGCGCCTGGAAACATGAGCTAACAGCACAGCTAAAACACCAAAAGCCAGCGTCACTCTGGCACGCGCTTAAGCTTTCCTTTGCGCTTTTATTGACCTCCTCTTGATAGCTCCCTACCTTAGCGAGACTCTATGCTAGTCCACAGAATGCAGCCAGCATAAGCTGTTATATAAGTTATGGTAGCAAACTTTATGCAGCTGGTCTACTGGGAGTAGCTGACTGGGAGAATCTGACTGGCAGGTAAACCGGTTATAAGATAAGATAAGATAACCTTTATTAGTCCCACACGTGGGAAATTTGTTTATCGTAGTGACCTCAGATAATTTATGGAAGTTAATAAACACAGAGCCACTAAACTCATAAAATCATTATTTGTCCATCTTCTGCAATAGGATTGAAGATGGAGAAATACAAAATTCGAGCTGATTGAAGTAAACAACATTAATAAACCCTCCCCCTGGCACAGTAGTGGCTCTGTGCAGCCAGGCAATCTCACTGAATTGTTGCATTGTTGTTATGCATACTGATTGTGGCTGTTTTCATACTGCTAATGTGCTTCCTCTTGTCTCAGAACAACTGCGCCTAAAGAGCCTACGGAGGGTGCACGGCAGGTGTCTGTGGTATCGGCTCAGGCTGATGAAGTCGCAGCAGAGCATCGTGCCAACACTAAAGTGAGTCTGCTGAATTGAACTTTGGGTTTGTACTTATAGTAGCTCGTCCCACACGTGCTTTTCTTGTTGTTTGGTGGATTTCCTCAGCTTCCCTTTCTAAAGAATTTTTCTGGAGGTAACATCTATGAAAGCGAATGTCTTATTTATAACTGGTTCGAGACTTCAGTTATGAATGGGACTCTATCGTGCGTTACACCGAAGCCATAAGAAGTTTTAGTTTGAAGTCCTTCATAACACTATCTTTGTATTCTTTACAGGGAAGATTCACGGATGTAGTGAAGGTGGAATTCAGAGGGTTGGTGTGGAAGCTAGGGCTAGGGTGACAAGGAGGCATATGATTTGCTTTGGTGACCGCTAAAGGGACCAGCTGAAAGAGGATCACGACTTGCATATAAATATGTTGACTTATATTTGGACAACACTTCCTGGACAGTATAATAACAAGCTTGCATGCTTGGTTGTTTGCCTGCTTGTTGAACGTCACATCGCTGCTGTTATTTAGGATTGACTAACCCAAGCTGTTAACACTGTGATCACTCAGACATCGTCTCAATACTGTACCTGTTTCTGACAGCATATAGATTCACTCCGATGGTTTATGCAGCTTGACACAGAATGTGTTGCGGTATATGTTATGGTCAGACTGAATATTCTCTTTCTGCGTGCGTATAAGAACTTGCTTTTGGCATGAGTGCAGTTTCTGTTGTTTGCATGTGACTTGTGCTGTGGCTGTAAACATTTAGCTGCACTGCTTAACATTTATCTTAACATCACCCTGTCTTCTAAGAGCTGTTTATTCGCTCTGCGTGGTTTAACAGCTTCTTACTCCCACTTACTCCTCTCTCGCGCCTTCACTAGACCCACATCCTGTATTTACGCCCAGTATTTAACAACTGGCATTTATAAAGCCTTCCCTTGCTTGGCTGCTCTTCGTACAGAAGACGGTGGAAGCACACAGCTTGTTTACCGAGGTGGAAAAAATCAAAGCGATCATCTCAGCCTCACTCTCAAAATCTCAGTATCTGTTTCCCTCTCACAAGTGTATCATCGGGATCGTGTTTATTATAAGAATCCATCATGTATTTCTCTGGTCGAGCAACTCAGACAACTCTGGCTAGTGAGCTGTCGTCATGGCAACAGATGCTGCAGAGCAGGCCACAG